TATATATATAGTATTCCTTTATATATATTTATTGTAAAGTATTTTCATATATATAATTGTCAATTACATCGAAAAGATATAAAAAGATACAAATATTAAAAAAAATATAAAAGATTTGTACATTTCTGATGATAAAACAGTGATTATATAAGGTAAAACTCCCTTCTTTGGAATAGTCGAATAGCCAAAACAGTCGATAATGTCAGTATTCTTCAATTACCACCGGGCCCCCGGGCAAGTCACGAAAATTTACCCCAGGGTTGTCGGTCTTTAATAGTATCTCGTCAGTGGTTTAAGCCAATCAACTTGCAGCTCTTACAGAAAAGCAGCGACGAATAGAGCGATTGAAAATCCCAATAGAGCGAAGCGAGAAATAGTTATTCTACCGAAAATCAATAAAAAATGTTGACTAAACTCTTTGAGATATAGTTATGAACAATAGAGCTATTATATTACGTTTGAATATTTCCGCCAATGCTGCCGAGCCATAGTTACAATAGGCGGCCGATAGTGGCGGCGGCGGCGCGTTATTACTTGTGAAATGATTAATTTGTTAATTTTTCAATAAAAATGCAATAAATCATTAAAATTATGATGGAGCAATAAGGAGCAATTGTTCTATGCCGGATTTAGTTGCATAGAATTATTATAAATATGTTTTTTAATAAAAATTAGAAATTTTTCGTTTTTATTAAATATTTCAAAAAATAATTTTAAAAGGGGAGCAATTGTTGATTCTGAGGGAGCAATTAGGGAGCAATCGTTTGAGCTATAATTCATTAAAAAATATGAACTTGCAGCGCCAACTTATTTCCGGTCCCGAAAACTCGTATAGCTGAAGCTATAGCAGCGGGCGGTAACAGCGAAACGTCTCGCGGGAGGAAGACGTTCAAATGTCATGTCGGTTCCTCGGGGGGGGGGGGGGGGCGAACGTATCGTAGGCTAATTATTATCGGCCACTGGGCTTTTTTGAGATATAATTAATTAATAAAGATTAAATATATCTAATATATATTTTTTTTAACAATATTCAAACAATTTTTTCACCGATTTGATATAACAATGTTTTAATTAATTGTTATTGATTATTCGATAAATAACTGTAGAAAGCAAAGAGCGATTTTCTCCAAATTTTTAGAAAATTACGTTCTTGTGATAACAAAACAATTTAGCAAGTATTTGCGACAAGACGCGGTTTCTCTTAATTATTATTAATTTTTTATTAATAATTTATTCTACAGCGATCGATAGCAAAAAGCGATTTTCTCTAAATTTTTAGGGAATCACGTTCTTGTAATAACAAAATAATTTAACAAGCATTTGCAACAAGACGCGGTTTCCCTTAATTGTTATTAATTTTTTATTAACAATTTATTCTGTAGCGGTCTTTAAATTATTTGGTGAGAATCGCTCTTTGTTAAAGACCGCTAGAGAATAAATTGTTAATAAAAAATTAATAACAATTAAGAGAAACCGCGTCTTGTCGCAAATACTTGCTAAATTATTTTGTTATTACAAGAACGTGATTCCCTAAAAATTTGAAGAGAATTGCTCTTTGCTGTCGACCGCTAGAGAATAAGTTGTTAATAAAAAATTAATAATAATTAAAGGAAACCGCGTCTTGTCGCAAATACTTGCTAAATCGTTTTGTTGTCACAAGAACGTGATTCCCTAAAAATTTGGAGAGAATCACTCTTTACTATATTCTACAGTTATTTATCGAATAATCAATAACAATTAAAGGGGGAGCCTCGTGTAAACAGCACTTTTTTAAAGATTTTATTACAAAAAAGTGAGAGTAATTATTGAATTCAAATAAAATACATTGTAATATTTAAGTTTTAATGTACAAGAAAAAATTTTTTTGTTAGAAAAAGAAAACAAAATGGCAACGCTACAGCTGCTTAAAGTTGGCTCCTCGAGTTTGCGCCGGGGAACGCCCAGGTCCTTGTAATTATCTGAAATCAACGAATTAAATTTTTTCCATTAAAATAAGATATTTTGTATTTCATGAACCTAAATTTAGCAAAAAAAACTAAAAAATGAAAAATTGGGGATAATTAAAAAAATTTATTCAATTTTCTGTTTTAAACAAATCGTTAAAAACTATATTTATTATAAAAATTTTAATATATTTTTAGGTTCATGAAGTATACGATACATTACAAATATCTCTACAAAGTTTCAAGTTCATCGGCCATTAACTTTTTGAGTTATATTCTCCGGCGCGAAAAAAAAGCGTTTTGAGAAAAACGCGTTTAAAGATAGTGATTTATATAGTGATATAGATTTATATTTACCTAAGCTTAATCTGCGATGCCAGGGCCGTAAAATAATCCTTCCTCTTCTAGAAAAACATCTAATTGTGCTGCATTTTCCTCTTTTCGAGCAGTCCTGGCCTCTTTTGTCGCTTTTTGTGATCGTCGATCTTGCCTCTTTACTCTATTCTTATCATAAGTATCAGGGTCTTAGGGACCTTTAGGATTTGATTTAGGCTTTGAAACTTTGGAAATATATTCTTCAGATGGTACATGAATTTTTCAAGCCATAAAAAAAAAATGCAACAAAAAAAAATTTTTACACGAGGCTCCCCCCTTAAAACATATTTTTATATCAAATCGATTTCAAAAACAGTTTGAATATTGTTAAAAAAAATATATAGATATATTTAATCTTTATTAATTAATTATATCTCAAAAAAGCTCAGTGGCCGATAATAATTAGCTAAACCCACATAAATAAAAGAAAAAGGATAAAAATAAACATATAAAAAGATATTTTTATTTGTTCTTAATTTTCAGAATAAAAACTCGTATTTATTTTATATATCTACATATTTCATTAATTTATAGTCTTAAATTATTTAAAGCATTGTTATTTATCACATTGCTTTGTGAAAGGATTAAAAAAAAACTTAAGGGCACGGAGATTCGAACCCATAATGTCGAGACTACGAAGTTGACACAAAACTACTCCGCCAACTTTCATATGACAGATATCCCTTCCGGCCTCCGGCGTCCTTCGCCACAACGTGAATAGTCTACCACGTAAGGCAGTTGGCTCATGATCCAGAGGTCCCGAGTTCGAATCCCATCAAGGTAGGTGTTTTGCTTCCTCATAGAGGAAGCTTTGTTTTCGTAAATTCGTATATGAACCTTTATATGCGTATAAAGTTGGCTCTAATCAACCAAATTTAAAAGAATTATATATAAAATAGGGGTAAAAGAAACCAAAGAAAAGATTGTTTTTTGAGTTTTTAATGTCAATATGTTCAGAGTGTTTTAAAACGTCGAAATATTGCATTAAAAAAAATGTCGGTATGTGTGTATGTATGTATGTATGTATGTATGTATGTATGTCTGTGCCAAATTTACAGAAATTTCTATAACTCCAAAACTGATCAACTAAATCTTAACGAATTATGTATGAAATAGGGGTAGAAAAGACTGAAGAATATAATAGAATTAATAAAAATTGTTAATAATAAAGGGGTTACCGATTTCTGTTAAAAAAAGGTTTACCGAAATTTTTTAATTTTATTATATTCATCAGTCTTTTCTATATTTCTATTTCATATATAATTCTTTAAGGCCGGTATTCATAGTCGGGTCTTATATCCAAGATTGTCTTAAGTATAGTCTTAAGGCATCATCAGCCAATCAGAGGGCCGTATTAGCATCTTAAGACATCACTTCCTCTATGAGGAAGCCAAGTGCAAATTTTTAATTTG